AAGATTCCCCAAACGCAAGTTGACAAGTGCCAGGACAAGCCTACTGGCGTAGAGGCAGTGGTCGATGAAGAGGTTTCTCTTCTGACCGAAAGTACACCTCCAAGTACGTCATCCAATCCGCTTCCGTTGCCAGCCAACAAAACACCATTTGCTAGTATAGCCGTAGCTCTAGGTAGTAACGTAACTCCCAAACTTAAAAGGAAAATCTGGGCAAATAAGTATATAGATTTCGGGGCACTACTTTCCGTCTCCCCAGCTACTGAAAAGTATTCTTTATCTTTCAAGTCCACTGATAGCTCCCCGAGACAACCCCTGTTGACCCGGGAGCCTTTTCAACCCTCTAAGAAAATTCATAGCTTTAATCAATGGCTAATTAATCAAAGGGTCCTGCTGGACATTTTATGCAGGGAGATATTGCGCGGGTTCTCAATTCGACCATGTTTGTTTCAAATGTAGCGCAAAGCACCCCGCAAGCCAGTGCTCCGCCACCCAACAACATCGCCTCCCTTTCTCCAAAGAAGGACCAGTTGCTACGAATTCTACACAGCAGTCCGGCCACTCCCGTAAGGGTGGACAGGCTTGATTTTCTTTTAACCGGATACCCTGATGATTTAAAACACTTTCTAATTTCGGGTTTTTCTTTCGGTTTTCGTATCAGTTATGTGGGCGAACGGCAGACCTTTGAATCTCGCAATCTGAAATTAAAAGCGCACTTGAAAAACCACACGTTGTTTTGTCAAAATTAAACAAGGAACGTGAGGCCGGTCGCATCGCGGGTCCCATCAATGTCCCACCTTTTCCAATCTTTCATTGCTCGCCTCTAACATAGTTCCCAAAAAGGATCCTTCCTATTTTCGGCTAATACATCACTTATCATACCCCAATGGTTCCTCAGTCTATGATTTTATTCCCGATGATTGTTCTTCGGTCAGTTATGCTTCCACAAACGACGCAATTGATGTCCTCAGACGGACAGGGGCTGGTTGTTTTATGGCCAAAACGGATGCCAAATCGGCGTTTCGCATAATACCCATCCATCCTAATGACTATCCATTGTTGCGAATGAAGTGGGAGAACTTGTATTATTTTGATCGCTGTCTTCCCATGGGCTGCTCTTCTTCATGTGCAATTTTTGAGGCTTTTAGTACGGCACTCGAGTGGCTGGCTTTGCATCAACTTGGCGCTTCAGGGGTTCTACATATTTTAGACGATTTTCTTTTTATTGCCGAATGCGAAGAGAAATGCCAGGCTGATTTAAATAGTTTTCTTTATTTGTGCGAGTATCTCGGGGTACCTATAGCAGAGGAAAAAACTGTCGGCCCTCATACCGTTTTACAATTCGCGGGCATTACCCTTGATACGGTGAAGCAGTAAGCCAGATTGCCCGACGACAAGCTTCAAAAATGCTACAGGTTATTACATGATTTTTATAAGCGTCGCAAAGTGACGCTTAAGGAATTGCAGTCCTTATTAGGTCTCTTAAATTTCACTTGTTCAGTTGTCGTACCGGGCCGCGCTTTTCTCCGCCGTATGATCGATCTTACCAAAGGGGCAAGACGACCGCACCATCACATTGGCCTTACTAAGGAGGTCAAACACGACATTGCAGTCTGGCTAACATTTTTAGGGCAGTTTAATGGGAGAACCTTTTTCTTGCACGAGAAATGGGAAACTTCGTCCTCTCTCCAGTTGTACACAGATGCAGCCGGATCCAAGGGATACGGTGCTATCTTTGGTAAGCATTGGTTTTGCGGCGCGTGGCCGGATTCATGGAAATCCTTAAATATCGCATTTTTAGAGCTGTTTCCGATCGTTAAAGCGCTGCACATCTGGGGGCCTTATATGGCCAACAGGTGTGTGGCATTCTACACTGATAACGCTCCCATTGTTGATATCATCAACTGGCAGACGTCAAGATATCAATTAGTCATGATTTTAGTGCGCGATTTGGTTCTAACTTCACTTAAATATAATATTTTATTTCGCGCACGGCATATTCCGAGCGTGCATAATTCTGGTGCCGACTACATTTCACGTTTTCACGTAGAAAAATTCAAGCAAATTTCGCCCGAAGCGGACGTCCTACCAACGCCAGTTCCCGCGAACCTCCTGCCGCAGAGTTGGTCCCTACGCTAAGGGTCTTGTTAAATTCCGCCCTGTCATCGGGTTCTCGTAAGATTTATCAGCGAGCATGGGCTGTTTTCAATTATTTTTATCAACAATTTTATCATTCTGTTTCTCCTGCTTTACCGCTAACCACACCGGTGTTAGCCCTTTTGTTTCTTATCTTCACGCTCGGAAGCTAGCTCCGTCAACCTTTAAATCTTATCTGTCGGCCATCGGATATGTGCACAAGTTGAAAGGTTTGCGTGATCCTACGGGGGTTTTATTATTGACAAGTTGTTGACGGCCCTAAGTCGACAAGCCTCAAGTGACATCCGGCTTCCAATCTCAAGGCCGGTTCTTCACGCGCTCGTAGGTTCACTTAACCACAACAACTCTTCGGCCTTTCACCGTACTCTTTTTTCTACCATGTTTCTAATAGCATTTTACGGCTTTTTTAGGATCGGGGAGCTGGCGGCCAAGAACGCGAATTCTGGTGGTTCGGTAGTTCAATTCAGTGACATGCGCTTTCTCACACACGATGGAAACATTCACATGCTTAAAAAAACTATCACAAACTTTAAACACAACACGGACAAACGCCTATTTGTTATCCTAATCGAGCGGGAAGATTCTATACCGTTTTGCCCAGTGCAAGCGATGTTGGATTATTGCAAACTCAGGGGCACAAAAGCAGGCCTTCTTTTTTGTCATAGCGACACAAGCCCAATAACAGTGGGTCAGTTCAATACCGAACTCCATCGTTGCTTGTCTTTTTGCGTGCTTGACACAAGCAGGTACAAAGGTCATAGCTTTCGAATAGGAGCTGCCTGTCACACAGCCGAGAAAGGATTCTCCGATGCCCAAATTCGGACACTTGGCCGCTGGAAATCCGACGCTTTTAAGCTTTACATTAGGTCCGACACCTTACACGCTAATTGACTTGATTTGATTTGCTCCTCATGTCTCTAGTCAAGTTAACGAAGAAGGTCAGATATTGGACTGCTTCTTCGTAGACTGATAATTTGTACTCATTGCTCGCCTAGTGGCGATAGCAATTTATTACTGCAACTAAGGAGTTCAAGAGGGCCAGTTAGCGGACTGCCTCGATCTTTATCTCCCGCCTCTATTCTTTAGATCTATAATTGTATTTTCGATATATTTAAAATTCTCTATACACCATAGGACATAACGAATGTACTCGGCCTCTTACTGTCTTTTTATATGTTTTTGTGTCTGTGATTTTTGAAATTCTAGAGAAACCAATGCAGGAGGTCAGACATGGGGCTGCTTCTCCATTACCTTTGTCTTTACCTAGACATTGCTTATCGTTATCTCTAGTTGCACTAAATAGGCCAATGCAGAGGGTCAGAAATGGGTCTGCTTCTCCATTGGCGTAATTTAGTCGACGCTTGTCATGTTTTAGTTTCGTTGTTTGCTACTTAGCAATATTAAACCGCTTATTACAAAGTGTCTATTATCGCATTTATCGTCCGAGTATTGCAGTAGGTCAGTTTCATTGGGCTGCCACTCCAATGCCTGTTTTCGTTCTTTTAGATGACTATACTTTTTAAGTACTGAAACCAACTTAGTTTATTGGTTTTCCTTCTCGAGAGCTCGGCTTGCGTGTTGGTGGGGTTGCAACATTCTTGTAGCTTGTGGCGGATTTTTGTCCCCACCTTTCCTGGAGAGATGTTAATTAGTTAATTTTATCACTGGTTTCAATTAAAAACTTCACGCCTGTGGCCATTTATCCCAAACAGTTGAGATTCTTGCTCGGGTGATCTCTTCAGCAAACCAGTGCGCAGCTCTCGATCGTTTTCGTAAATTCGGTTTGGGAAGACTCGCAATAAAAACAAACATTATGATGAGAAGATGGAATCATAATGTCATTTTATTTCGAGGCATTTCCCGTTTCTTATCAGCAGTGTGCAGGCTGTGGTTCCCTGACCAATCAGGAGATCCAACGTGTTTAGTGCTGTATAAAAGATTTGTTATATGTTTCGCGCGGCCCTTCCAACTATTACCAGCAGCCTGTACTAGTGACATCCCTTTGACGCTTAGTTGAACATTTTTCCCACCACCTCCCCAGTCTCCGACCTGCCACCGTCTTCATCTTCTTATAGTCTATATCTTCTTTATTTTTTCGTAAGTATTTGCTAATTTGTGGCGGATTTTTGTCCCCACCTTTCCTGAAGAAATGTTAATTAGTTAATTTTATCATTGGTTTCAATTAAAAACATCACGCTTGTGGCCATTTATCCTAAACAGTTGAGATTCTTGCTCGGGTCATCTCTTCAGCAAACCAGTGCGCCACTATGCGGAGCTCTCGATCGTTTTCGTAATTTCGGTTTGGGAAGACTCGCAATAAAATGATAATTATTGTCAAGACTCTTTTGGAGTTGGTCTTTTGGCAGGAACAGGGTGAAGAACTAAAAGAAAGCCACGAGGATGCATTATCACCATGCAAAACACTTACAAAATGTTGCAGGTGTAATGAAAAGCCATCCTTTTAATGATGAGAGGTGCTTTCATTCTTGGCGGATATTAAACACGTGAAGCAGAAAGATACCTTAATATTAACAAAAACACTAAGCTGGAGTTTACTGAGTCACAATGCAATTCTCCATAGTTGATGTAGCTTCAGTTTAAGCTGCTCTTCACTCTTATAATTTTGGATCTGTAAATCACTATCCGCGATAACTGAATATTTTGCAAAGAAAACTAACGAGCTGGGTCCAGCGTGATACAACATTGTAGAAAAACATCACATTCAGGGACTAAAGAAAATCGCTTAGTTATTCAGATCCACTTTGGTAGAGCTTTATTTATGAAGAATTAAAAGATATATTCGAGAACATTAAGCAGGGTTTTGATGGTAGCAGCCGCACTTTAACTCATTTGGTCGCAACTGAAGAACATATGGCCGCCAAAGCGATTTTAAATTCCTCGCAAAACCGTCGCGAACTGTCGTGCTGACGGCGTTGTACAGGCTTGAAATTCTCTTCATTCACATGAGGAGAATTATCAATTACGATTGAGCAACAGTTAACATTTCCGTTTTGATTCAACAAAGAAACATTTCTTATCAGAATGATATTTCCCTAAAAACCATGAGATCCGGAGTCTTATGGTGAGAAAAGTTAAAGAATTGTGAGACTCACGACAGAGCCGAGAGCTCGCCTAGACGCGTAAAAAAGCTTCAAAAATTCATAAACTTCTGTCTCAAAGGTGGCCATGCATAGTACTAACCTGAAACATATCAAATTCCACATGAAGATAACTTATCGCCCGGTGAAAGGTACAAAATCATAACGTCAAAAGCTCTGGGCACAATGCACGCTCAGCACTTCTTGATCGCGGAACGGGAACGAACAATCCACGACAATTGTTGTTTTGACATCGGACGTTTTCGTGCGATCCGACTAATTACGAAAGGTGTCTACACCCGAGGGAGACATTTGCATATCGCAGTGCCCACAATAACTCGTTCCTTATGCTACGCGTAATCCACGAGTTAAAGAGGGGATTGGGCTTCTTTCAGGCTTCATGAAGGTCCTTTTCTAGGTATAATAAAATAACATTGAATGGTAAAAAACAATTCCTTCAGAGACTTATTTTGGTGAAAAAAAATGCTGCAAATAGTAATGCTGAAAAAAAAAATCATACTCAGAAGAAATTGCCCAACCCCCGCTTCCCACCCCCACAAAAATTACATGGTCCGTCCCTAAATCAATTCAGAAGCAAATCGTCGAATACGATAATATATAGATTTAGCCAGGGCTAAAAGCGAAGCTCACTTTAATAAATTAATAAAATTTAAATAAAACAGTAAACATTAATCAGTTAACTTTAAGGTAGATTCGTGAGACTTTTGAGGAAAGTGATTCCTTGGAGAAGAATAATTTGACAGTCCAAGAGTGAAACAAATTTTACATCGAGTTAAAATGAGTCTTATATGTACACCGAAAAACAGCAATCTTCTTCGATCACAGTAGATTAGGCCAAGAAAACAAATTCTTTCCAAACAAAAGAAGTTAAACCAAGTCACCCACCTACACTGCCTTTATTTTATAAGGTTAATTCATAGTCTCTCCAACCACTCCGTTGGGGATCGTAAGACTATGGAGACAATTGGATATCCCCGAAACATGATTTAATGCAACACACGAGAGTCCTCGGTTGCAGGGGCCCGGTTGCAGCCAATTTACAAGTTGCATTCCTCTGTCTCAAAGGAAGGCCAAAATAAAAAAAAAATCAGGCTGGTCTTTTCGTGTTTCGAAAAAGATTTGAGTTCTACAGGTTTACTTTACAAGTAAATCTTGGCGACAAATCTGGTGGTGTGTAAACCAGTCTTTTAAATATACCTTTTATCAGTGTTTTTATACATAAGTTCTGAGGAAAACAGTACTATGCCTGTTCCAGTTATTTTTCCTTGCCTATTTAAACCTATAATTCTGCAGTTTTTCATAATCTTGCAAGACAAATTGCGCTTATTCAATATCCAGGACGATCGAAGCACGCGCTTCCTTTGAGCAAAAAATTATAGAATTGACCACATTATAAAACGTTTTCATGAAGAGAATTTTCCATACTACCGGGACTGTTAGTCGTAAAAATCTGCTCCTGTGATATGTAGGGTAATAATTATCGGTTTTTAGTGAAAACGATAAAAAAAAATTCCCAAAATCACCTATACTGGCCGGACGGGTTCTCACTTTTGTCAAGCACCAAATTTGCAGTCCGAGCTGTCGGAGCCGTTTAAATGAACATTAATAGAGTTAAGCTTCAACATGATAGTGAACTTATTATGTTTAGGTTTTATTTCCCTTTATTTGTGTTTTTTTATGTGATATTTACGCGCGGCTTTTTGAGTACTCCTGCGTGCGATGTTTTGTTATATGTTCGACTGAAAACAACCTGCGCAGCGATTAAATTGACAAAGAGACTACTGACAATCAGTAAAATAAACATAACTCGGTGAAACATGTACAGAGACAACAATTTTTATTCACGACGATAAGTTTTGAGAGTAAGTGTCTCTGAATATCATGAGCATAAGCTCATAAACTTCAAAAACCTTGCTGATTTTAGCCAGCGTCCCGGTGTTTACTTCAAGATGAACCGCGAGGCAAGAATATCGCTCAGAGATTTCTTTTTACAGCCAAAAGCATAACTAAATACATTGTATTCTTCGCAACGTTTTCTTTGTATTTGTGGTCAGAAAATGTTAAGACTTTTTAAAAATCTGTAAGGTTATGTCAAACCTGATGCTATTGTAGATCATTGTCTTGTGCATAAACTAGGGGCAGAAACTACGCACGAGTTTAGGAAACCAGAAAAAAAAAAAGCATCAAATACAATAATAACTCAGACTTACCAGTCAAGATGCTCCTGAAGGCCATCAGAATCGCTTGAGATTTTTTTGAACCTTCTTTATAATACGCATTAAGCAAGGGGAAGTGAGTAAAAGAGATCCATCTCAAAATCGGATTTCTGATGACTTTGACAAGCGGCGCATTTTTCAACCAAAATAACCAATAAACAAACCAGCCATGAATAACTTAAGAACCTTGCTAGCATCTGTATTTCATTTTGTGCTTCCAGTAGAAAAAGACAGTTAAAAGTTTCACAACGTTTATACGCAAAACTCCGTCAGTTTCAGCTATCAGTAAACAAGTTTCAAGATGCTGCATAAATTTTCCGCACGAACCCACCTGTCAATTTTTGACCAATCAGAACACAAAAATTGGACGTAAAGCGTGACCATGGTGAGAAAGGTCAAAAACAGCTTCCCGGTCTGTAAAAGCTGGCTGAATTCTAGTTTCCGAGGTCAGTTTGAAATTAAAAGTTTAATAGTACGAATCATTAACACAACTCCCTATTTCCTATGCGTTAAAAAATTGAACTTGAGTCTGAAATCATTTCAAAAGTAGTAACTTGTCAGCGGATAACTTCAAAAAACCTCGAACTAAGTGGGCCGATACCTGAGCCCGCGATATGGTCAGGTGATGATGGTCAGCGGATGCTGTAGTTCGACAGCTGTCAATTGAACTTCACTAGAATGGCGAATTTTCAAATAAACGTACTGTTGACTGCGAGTGTTAGTCTGGGTTGTAATCGAGGATTAATGAGGCCAAATGTCGTGTATTTGAGCCTACGTTGTTAGGGGTCTGATAGTGATCTTCACATGTCCCATTTTGACAGCTGTCAATTGACCTTAATTTGGCTAGTGCGTATAACTTTAAACTGACAGCCCTGGCCGGTGAAAGCGAAGTTTCATTTTATTTTCATTTTTATGTTGGTGTGACATATTATATCAGCTTATATGTAGGGAAAACGACTGATCTTTCATCTGAGCCCTCGAGATGGTCATGTGATTACTGTCAGCGGATGTCTGATTTTGATAGCTGCCAATTCATCCTCATACGAATGGCTTACAAAGTGTTAATTTCTCCAAGATGTGACATTTGACATCAGCTTACATGAAGTGTGTGTACGGGTGGGAATACGCTACGTCACAACCAAATTTTCTCGGATGGATAGTTTACCAAATTTTCTTACCCATGGTGCTCCGAAAGCGCGCGCTTCGTGCGCGCTAAAGCTCCGCTATAAAAAGTTAAACATCGTGAAGAATACTCGACCGTCGATAAAGTAGGAAGTGAAAGCCTTTAGCAAGTAAATCCTGTCTCGTCTAGAATTAATCGCCTCCTCATTACCTTTCTAATCTCCAAGCAAGCGAGACTTAACGCCGAGTTTAAGAGCGTTGTTGTCTGTATTAATTCCTTGGGCTCTAGTGGTCGTTGGATGCTTACAAAGGGCTGAAGCGAGGAGACATATAGGCATGTAGTCTATAGAAAGACAGAACGCCGCAGGCAATCGGTAATCGGTTGGTGAAAATTTATGGCAAGTGACCGTTGTTAGCACTTCAAGCCAGTGGCTGACAGTGGAGCTCCTTTTCTCATGAATGATCCTTTGGTATGTAACTGCATGTTGTTGGATTACTGTTTACTTGACGTTTTAAAGAGAGAAAGAAACACTCTCTGTTCAATTTACGGACTGCGTTCAGCGTGTTAACAGTTGAAGCAGTCGGTAAAGGTAGCCTGAATTTCATCCGATTGATTCGAGTCGTTTTCTCCTCTCAGCAACGTCTGAATCGACCGGCCGTTAATGCCGTCCAGTGACGCCATCACTACCCGAAAACCGGGTAGTGATTTTGATTGGTTGATTGTCTAAACATTCGCATAATAATGCATAATCACGAGAAATTTTAGGGGGATTATCGCTTGATATTTAGCGGATCACATCCCTGTATGCTTGCGTGGAGTTCAAACATTTCGATAATCTATATCGTAGACAGCAAATTTGCCCTCGTCTTCGAAACTGAAATGCTAAATTGAACTGCGAATGAAGAATCATTGCGTCATTGCGGAGACTCGGTGGGTTTTTCATTTAGAGCCGCTTTGTGGTTTCGGCAGTGATTTTGTTTATACAAAGTTTCTGAGACCAATGTTGTAATACGACCTTCTAGCTATTTTCAAAGTCAAGTGTAAGTATTCTGTTAGCTTTTCTTTCTTGTTACCTTGTTTTCTTTTTTTCTTCCTTAAGGACCAAATAGCTTCTTTTGAATGAAAGCAAATCATTGTGTTTCTGAACTAAGTGTTCTGTGTGTGTATTTATTTCATTGCGTGATTGCGACCGAGTTTGATTATGGAATAGGCCATTTCCGAGTTGCCCCTGTATCCAAACGAGGTTAAGTGTTCAGCCTTTGATATGGAAATGATTTTTCATTCTCGTGCAAATAAAAGTCATTTTCACAAGAAAGGTTGTGCACTTGGCCTCATTTTGAAAGTGAGGGTTTTTGGAACTCGGAAGTGGCCTATTACAACCGGTTCAGAGTACTGCATGCAGTTGATAGTTTGAGCCTCAAACGTGAATTACTATCGAAAAAAAGTAAAGCCATTCTGTATCATGCAGACATTTCCAAACGATATTAGTAGTGATGCTTCAACAAACTTAACCTCATTTTGGATTTCCCGCATACTAATTTGGATTTCCTTCATACTAATTTAGTGCCTTTCTGCATACTAATAAGTGTCTTCCCGCATACTAATTTGGATTTCCTGCATTCTAAAGTTTTGGCTAATTTAGTGCCTTCCTCTATATACAATGAAGTGGATAGTCGTTTCTTTTCATATGGAAGAACACAATAGGAACAATAGGCTTGCCTAGAGTTTCCCGGTGAGTAACTTGAGCCCGGTTTACGGAATGTCTATTAAAAGGAAAATAGGAGCGATCACCTAGCAACGATTCCTATATCTTATTTCGCGCTAAAACTCGGATATATATAAACAAAACACATACACAAAATTAAAGTAGAACTGAAAACTCTCTATTTCAATTTTGTCTGACGTTTTCTCCGTTCTGTCTCGAGGAAATGAAAAACTATTAAAGTCTTGTAATTTCACGCACCGTTAGTCGGTTAATTATGCGAAGTTGAATACAAATTAGCTCTACAGGAAAGACCCAAGGGAGCACCTTGACGTATTATTATTTAAAAAATTTGAAATAACTTAACAAGGATCAATTAATACACGCGACTAACAATTGCTAGCAATAAAACCACAAGAGAGATACCGTTTTAAAAACTTTATCAAAAAACAATGACTAAAAGAGTCAAATACACAGGGATTTGTAAGGACGGAAATTAACTAATCCTCTTCTTCGTTCTCGTCTTTAGAAGGGGAATAGGAATCGAAATTGGTTTCCAACGTCTTCGCGATTTTGTCTGTAACTGCTCCACAATCGTGACACCAACGAAAGCCCTCTTTTATATAATTTCTCCCCTCGGGAATCTGGTGATCGCATATAGGACAAATCTTGTAGTAATCGTGCCAAAAGCATTTAGGTCAATTCATGATCAATGTCCAGTACACAATAGAGTTCTCACAATGTTCAACGGGACGTTTAGAGTGAAAGGCGGTGGACGTTTCAGGGCTACTGCTTTCTGTTTCCTGACTGTCGTTTTCAGTGTCGTTGTCGCTCTCTTGGGTGCCTTCAGCTTCCACGCCATTCTCAGAAGCCATTTCCTCCTCCTCCTCCTCCTCCTGATTTTCAATATCCGATGAACTCTCCTCATTATTACTCTCGTTATCGGAACTATTTTCTACATTTTGGTAGCCTTTTTCCTTGTCTATTAAATCACTTAATGGAGACTTATAAAGATAAATCAATACATTTAGCTGTCAAAAGACCGATATCCGGCCTTATGATTGTCATCCGCGATCAGTGCAGTCGCAGCCTTTACGCGCTATAGTTTTCAACACACAAACTTTATTTCAGGACCTTCACAACCGGTGAAGGAAAACAAGCGAACCGAAGCGATGTGAAGTATAGAGATAAAGAAGATGATAGCGAGATAAGGACGAAATACTAGGACAAGCTAAGACCCATACATTAAACTGTAAACTGGACCAAGCGCAACTAACGAAGAACTGACGCGAAAATTACAATAAAACCTAAATATACGATATGCAGAAAACCCTAACACGAAGGACAAAGCTACGCGGACAATGAAAAACTAATGAACCAAAAAACAGCACTAAAGGCGCGAACACGAAAATAACTAAAAACGCGGCGAACATAAAAATACTATAAAGGTAACGGAAAAATTCCTGGCGCCTACATTCCGGCCCCTGAATACAAATCGGTTGTATTTACCTAATATTATCGAAAAAAAAAAAAAAAAACAAAAGGTGCCAGGAACTAACATAAAGATTAACCACGGAAAACAATAATCTTCTTTAACGCCAAACTCCATAAGCGAAAAACAGTGTCACGAAGGCCTAAGTGCCTCAACAGGCGTCATTGTTCAAACTTGATAGAACATCACGTAAGCTCAGTGAAAGTCACCCAAAGTCTCTTGAACAAATTCGAGAAAACAAGACGCTTTCAATGTTCAATTGATTCCGGCAAACATAACTTCGTAATGGGTCGCTCCAAAGTAGTGGTCTCGGTTTTGACTCTTACGCGCCGCACGAAACCATCTCTATCTGAGAACACTTCTGTGATTCGACCAATCCGCCACACGTTCCTGGCCGTCGATTAATCAGCGATAACCGTGTCTCCAACAGTGAAGTTTCTTCTCGGTCGAAACCATTTCTGGCGCTCCTGCAACGAAGGAAGGTATTCTCGTTTCCAGCGACCCCGGAACACATTTGCCAAATACTGCACTTGACGCCATCCTCTCCTGGAATAAGTGTCGTTCTTTTCAAACCGCCCTGGTGGTAGGCGATTCGTTTTGGCGAAGTAGTAGGAGGTGATTCGGCGTAAGAGGCTCCAAATCGTTAGGATCGTCGGAGACCTTGGTCAGCGGCCTCCCATTAATGATACTCTCAGCTTCACACAATAAGGTTTGAAGACACTCGTCGTCAAGGACTTGCTCCTTGGTCAAAGCTCCAAGAATCTTGCGAGTGGATCTGATAAGTCTTTCCCAGACTCCACCGTGTTGGAAAGCCGCTGGAGGATTGAAGACTCATTTAATATCTTTCTGTAGAAGGATGTCGTGAATCTTGGCCTGATTCCAACCTGAGATCATAACGGGAAGTTCCTTTTCAGCTTCCGTGAAATTCGCACCATTTTCTGAACGAATCTCTTTAACCTGATCTCTGCGGGCAATAAATCTTCTAAGAGCTAACGTAAAGGAATCCGTGTCCAATGTGTGAGAAGTCTCCAGATGGACTGCTCTCAAGGCCAAACATGTGAAAATAGCTCCATATCTCTTTACCAAGCTTCTCTTTTGGCGGAAAACGAAAATAATAAATTCTAACACATGTAAAGGGGGGTTGATCTGGAGTAACCCCGGCAAGAGGTAAGTCGGCCATTTTCTGTTCTCCAGCGAGGCCATGGCGACGTTTACACTGGAAACAGGACGACAGTACACTTATTGCCGTTGTGTTGGCTCGAATCAACCAAAATCGCTCGCACAAGAGGGCTAGCAGGTATTCTCTCCCAGAGTGACCACTTTTCTCGTGGAAGAACCTGATAAGCAGTACACAAAGTGGAGAATCCTTGGAGATAATTATCTGATGCCTTGATTCGTCAGGTAAAGGAGCTCTGCTAAGTCGTCTGCCAACGCGAAGTACACCACCAATTAGGACTGGGATTAATTTTGCAAGGCAACTTGACTTCTTTACAGAGCCTCCTTTCTTGATGGTTTCAATTTCCTCAGGCAATTGATTCGTCTGGTCAAACATAAATAGTTCTCTTTCTGCAGAGTCTAAGTCTTGACAAGATATTGGCTCCAGGCTGAGGGCACCAACATCTCCGTGAACATTCTGGCGAGGCTCTCTCTTTCTTATTCGAAATCTTCTCCTGGCAGCGAAGACACTGTGCAATAAATTTCAACAACTTTATAGAGGAGCTAAATAAAACCTTTCACGAAACGAACAACCCTAGCATAAACGTCGGTGACGGATAAAGAGAATGATTTGGGCTCTTGCTTGATTTCCGGATCATTCTCGGTCAGCTCTGCGCTTTCTTGGACATGGTCCACCCACTCAGACTCGGTTGTTAAAAGAAAAACCGGCCCCTTTAACCAACGGCCATTACGAACAAACACATCTGCCGTAACGCCCCTGCGAGGCTTCATCAGCGGGATTGGATTTGCTGTCGATGTATCTCCATTGGGACGGGCTGGATTCCTCTCTGATGAAGGCAACGCGGTTTGCAACGTAGGTATAGAAACGCTTCGACTCATTCGCGGTGTATCGTATGACGGTCATGCTATCTGCCCAAAAGGTCACTTTATCGATGGGTATCTGCAACTCCTTCGTCAAAATCTTGTTCAGCTGAACTGAGACGGTAGCAGCCGTCAACTCCAATCTGGGGATGGTAGTTACCTTCAAGGGAGCCAGGCGGCACTTGCCAATAAGAAATGAACAGAAAATCCGACCTTGCATGTCCGGTAAGCGAAGATACGATACGGCGCCATAGGTCACCTGAGAGGCGTCGCGGAAATGATGGATCTGACATGAAGCGATATCCGAGGACTTGACAGGTTTGACACATCATTCGATGGCAATTCGGGAAATCTTCGGTAGCTCGTCTAACCACGCTCGCCAGCGGGTCAAGTGAAGATCTGGGACCTCGTAGTCCCCTCCCCCAAACCCGCTCTGCACAAATCCTGTAGGAGAAGCTTTGCAGGAAGAATGAAAGGAGCTGCCATACCCAGAGGATCATATAACGAACTGACCGCTGAAAGTATGCCACGCCTAGTATAAGGCCTATCTTTAATGAACACCTTAAAACCAAACTGGTCACCCGCCACGAACCATGAAACACCCAAGGCGCTCTCTACTGGGAGCGCATCGCAGGTTAGGTCAAGCTCTTTAGTTCCTGTCGCTCTGTCTTCGACAGGTATGGACTCTAATACCAGGCGATCGTTGCTGACCCATTTCGTCAAGTTAAAGCCACCTTTATTAATCAGGTTGCGCAGATCACAAACGTGCTTAACTGCTTCATGACTGGAAGGTAGAGATTTCAAGCAGTCGTCGACATAGAAATTCTTCAGAACAGTAGAAACGACTTCAGGCGAAAACTCGTGCTGGTGATGTTCAACATTTCGACGCATGGCAAAATTAACACAACTAGGCGACGAAACTGCACCGAAAAGATGCACGGTCATTCGGTACTCTTCCAAACCCTTAGCGAGATTAACACCGGGCCACCAGAGAAACCGCAGAAAGTCACGATCCTCCACAGGATCACGCACTTGGTAAAACATAGATTGTACATCTCCCATTAAAGCTACTGGGTCTTGTCGGAAATGAAGCACTATTCCAACCAGGTTGTTGGTCAAATCAGGACCCCGCAGCAATTCCCAATTCAAAGACATCCCTTGAAAGTGAACAGAACAATCGAAGACGACCCTTATCTTCTCAGGGTTCTTGCTGTGGTGCACCCCATGGTGTGGAATATACCAAACCTTTCCGTCAGCTCTGCATAGATGTTCAGAGGGAACCTTTTCAGCGAAACCTTCTCGGATTACGCTTTCAAGAGATGCAACGTAGTCTTCTTGAAATCTGGCATCCTTGAGGAATTTACGTCTCTGGGAGAGGGCTCTGCGCTCGTATTGGCATCTATTAGCGGGCAACGTCAAACTTGGATTACGAAAGGGCAAACGAACTTGGTAATGGCGATCCTCACACTCCATAACGGAGTCTTCCACAATGTTCATGAACTTCAGATCTTCACGAGACATTCCTGTGCCGTCATTCAAACACGCATCCGCAAAGTCAGCACACGCCTCGCACATAGGATGGACGTCAATAGACTTGGGGAGGTAACAAGCAGAAGGGACATACCTTGTTTTTCTTCCTGTTGGGCCATTGATTACCTAACGGAACTCCACCTTACTAGCGTAGGGGCCTCCTCCGGCAGCTGGGATAACTTCTTTCGGTTGTAAATCTTCTGGGACATCTGACCCAATTAATAGATCAACTTGAGAGTTCAGCTCAGTTAGGTAGGCGAAACCTTCAAGGTGTGGCCATCTATCTACATCTTCCTGTTTCGGGACTTCGTCCTTAGACACAGGCATAGTCGGTCTGGAATAAACCTCCCTTAATGGGACAACAACATTTTCATCCAACTGTGAAAGGTTTGAACCCAGGAGTCATTTCAAAGGGTTGAGTCTGATCGTCCGGGTGAACGTAGTCCTGAATAGGACTGTTGTTGTTGACAGTGACTGATTTTTCCACAACCTGTGCGGTAGTCATCTTCAGAGTCTTCAACCACACAGGTTGTCGAAACGTCAGTCACTGTCAACAACAACAGTCCTATTCAGGACTACGTTCACCCGGACGATCAGACTCAACCCTTTGAAATTTTCATCCAAGTCCAACACCACTAAACCACTAGCCACGACGCTATCAACCCCTTCTGCCGTACCCATCGTAGTTAACTTCACCTTCAAATGCTTGCCTTTAACGCCAAGACGATCAAAAAGCCTGCTAGAGCAGAAAGTGGAATTGGAACCCGTATCCAAGAGGGCGTGGGTCTCGATGCAAAGGGGACTTCCTTGTGCGCTGAATTTTACTGGTACAATTGGCAACGCAGTCACAGGACCCTCCGCGGTCGTCAAATCGCAGACGCGCTCAACGCCATTCGACTCGTCACTTAATAAATTCTTCTGGTTAACACCTTGCTGGGATCTGTTCTGATTTTCCTTCTCTCTACTTCTAGCAGGTTGTTGACTCGCTCTCTCAGATGTGGGCTGCTCGTGCGTGTCTTCTGAAGAATCAGAGTGCATAAGCGAAGCATGTCTTCCGTTACAATGTGAACACGGTTTCTTCTTGTAGCATCCCCTTGATTGATGACCCCCTCTCAAACACGAGAAACAGAGTCTTTGCTTCATTACAAAGTCGAAACGCTCACGGACGGGAATTTTAGCAAACGCAGGACAGTCTACGAGATTATGGATCTGACTGCCAAACAAACAGCTCCTTTTCGAGAGATCTTCAGACTTCTTCTCTTCAGACTTGTTTTGATCCATGGGACTCTTATGAGATGAAGTGGAGAAGTTACTAAGTTCTCTAGGACCAGGCCCAGAATCATCGGGTTTTGATTTCGCCCCTCGCGTCTGGCTCTTTTTCTTAGCCTTAGCCGGGAAGGGAAGTTTTCCGAAGATTGGATTAATTAGTGCACGCGACTTCTCTTCGACAAATGACGCATTGTCTTCGATACAAACTTCTCTCCTGTCCGCATTGAGGATACGATCAGCATTGTCTCGCCAGCTACTCTGCAGTTTAGGTGGCAGTCTCTCGATAATCTTCCTCATGTTGTCTGGACCTTCAATCTTGTTTAAGTATTCGATAGCCTTCTGTGTATTGGTGCAACTTGACAGAAGAATTGAGAAACCCTCCAGTAACTCAGCTTCCTCAGCTTTGATGTAGAGACCATTAGTTAGCTGGTCGACATAAGCCATCGCGATAATGTGCTTTTGGCCAAATCTAGCCTCCAACAGCTTCTTCTCCTTAGAATAGCCTTCTTCTGGGTTTAGGTAAATACAACTTCGTACGATCTCCCGCGCTCTTCCACTCGTATGCTGCTCAAGATAGTACAGTCTCCCGCCGCTACCACTTTCGTTACTCTTGATTACAGTCTCAAAGGCACGCATAAAGGTGGAATAGCTGAGTGGATTCCCGTCAAAGATAGGCACCTGTCTTCGGGCTAGTGTGTTTTTCTGCTGCTGATCACAAACTCCTCCATGACACGATTCTGCTGTTCGAGGATTTGAAAGGCTTGGTCAATAAGGGCAGACTGCTCATCAGAGTCTGAACTGGACTGACGTGGAACCTTGTGTTTAGTCTTGCGTTCTTCAGGTCTGAAATTGGCATCATGGAAGACCGGAGATGGTTCCTGCTTTAAATCTTCAGAAAAAAACCATCAGAAATAGTCGCCGCGCGCAGATCCACGCGAGGAACGCGAAAGGTGAGCGAGGAGGACGCGACACGCGTGTTCCTTTCAGAATCAGCTTTAGCATATGCGCTTTCCCTGGCACTGCTTTCTTGAATTCCGTTTCAAGATTTAATTGATCCTTTTTAAACTGCAGTTCAAGTTCTTGCTTTTTGAGCCGTAATTCAGTCTCGTGAATAAGCTGACGCTGCTTTGGGGCATGTACTTCGGCTTGTAGCTCAGCAATTCTCGCAGATTCTTTTGTCCTTGCAACAGAAATGGAACTAGCTCGAGAAGATCGGCTGTACGCAGAACCACATCCGGATCGTTTCCTGTTCCTGATAGCAAGTTGTGAGACACTGTCATCGGGAGTAACATCAAGTTCTTGAATCCGGATCTCCGTTACACGCAGTTTGACAGAAGAAATTCAAACTCGACTCAATGTCAGCGAAGTAAACTACTGATTCCTGTCTTTGGCTCTCATCGATTAGGGCAGCATTATAGTCCTCGTGTGCATCTGTAGATCTTTGAAAAAGAGAAGTGATCTCCGTCAGTTTCACCTTGACTGCTTCAACATTATTCTCATCCGTTAATAAGCTGTCAATTTCTTTACGCTTAGCCGTCAAGGCAGAGAGCACTCCGCCCCTTCTCTTTCTAAGTTCTTGGATCCTTTCCATTGCAACTGCTTCTCGATCAAGCGAAGAATTAGGCTTCCGCGAACGGGTAGTTGAACGACGAACACCATTTTTCCCGGCGGAACACGACAAATAGGCCTCCTGAACCACATGACATATCGTCCAAAGTCCAACAACTCTCGTCTTTACGAATATAGTCGCAGCCTTTACGCGCTATAGTTTTCAACACACAAACTTTATTTCAGGACCTTTACAACTGGTGGAGGGAAACAAGCGAACCGAAGCGATGTGAAGTATAGCGATAAAAAACTATAGCGAGATAAGGACGAAATACTAGGACGAGCAAAGACCCAAACACTAAACTGTAAACTGGACCAAGCGCAACTAGCGAAGACCTGACGCGAAAATTACAATAAAAGCTAAATGTACGATATGAAGAAAAACCCTAACACGAAGGACAAAGCTACGCGGACAATGAAAAACTAATGAACCAAAAAACAGCACTAATGGCGCGAACACAAAAATAACTAAAAAAGCGGAGAACATAAAAATACTATAAAGCTATACGCTGCTATGCGCTATTTTTACAAACTTCTATTAAGCGGACACTTGGGAAGGTCCCGAAGGTGTCCGTTTTGTAGGGGTTTCAATGTAAGTTATTTAACAAGTGAAAATCAATGGGTGTCAGTTAACACAAAAAGTGAGAGGAGAGATGATGTACGAAACACTAACCAAAGAGCAATCGTATTTATTCAGCTCCATATACATCTATTGTGTACTGTATTTTGTCCCCTTAGCGTAGTTATGGCAGCTTTGCATGAAAAGAATGTATCCTTAATTTAAGGGCCTTCACGCCTCGCGGGTCTTAACTGTTATCAGCTTTCTTTAAGGGGGTGAGCATGACTCCAGATTCTGAGTTGATATATTGGCCCAGTGGTGTCCTTGCCTTCTTCTGAAAAACAAAACAAATTAAACAACCAAACGTGGTGTAGGAAAGAAGGACCTTGATTCCAATTTCAAGAATAGCGAAGTTAAGGGGGCATTACGGTTGGTTTTTTGGGGAAATGATGTTGATTTGGGAAGAAAATAAATTAGGGTTGAAAAGGAATACACATAAGCCAGTGCAGTTAGTCCGCTGAAGGGATCAGAGGCACCTTGTTCTGGTGGTAGACTATCTGGTAATTGCCTACAAATTGTTCACTTCATATTTTAATTTTTAACAACCTCCAAATCCAATAATTTATTTTCCCATTTTTTCCAAATTTTAAACATCTTCCTTCCTAGCCTGCGTAGCTGGCGGTATTGTGTAGTAGTCGAGTAAGATCTGGCGGCGAAGCCGCCACGAGCGGCGTAAGCCGCGAGAAATTCAAACGCCTTGTCCCCAATCCCTTTTTTGGATCACGGCTCCGCCGCCAAAACTTAAATGGTCCACAGAGACAATACCGCCAGCTACGCAGGCTAGTCCCTCCCTAAATTTTATACATTAAAAACATTTGAAAATCGTTGAAAAGTTGATAAATAATTATTAAATTAAGGACCGTAACTTAATTGAGTCATTTTTGGATTGAATGGAATCTTGGCTAGATACTTAAGAAAAAGGGTGGACATCAACTAATAATAACGCTTTTAACCGTACTGCCCCCTCAAAGCCGTTGAAAACATGATAAGCTCCTCGATACCAGAACCTCGTTAAGGTCGGAGGAGAAATGACAGCCCGTGACCATGGCAGAATGACATTAAGCTGATAAAGGAAGGAAGGATGACTGGCGATATTACAGAGTTGTTTCCGTGACTCAAGATCTTTACTATCTGAGGAGCTTCATAATGTTTCTTGGTGTTTGCAGGAATCCTCAAACGAACATCTGTCCGCTCAAGGCCATAGAGCATGTTGACACGGCAAGAGATTTAGGCATTGTTCTAACGAAGGTGACTTCCTTTTCGTCCTGTAGACGCTAATAGGGTCTGCGCTATAAAGCAATGGGTCTGCTATAAAGCGTGTTACTGAGTTTAAGTACCTGGGTGTCATCTTTGATGAACACCTCAGTTGGGACGAACATGTTAAAGCAATTGTGTCTAAAGGCTGGCAGGCGGGTCAGTCTGTTAGTACGTGTTCGCCGTTATATCACATACTGCTAATGCCATTTTTTTTATCTATGATTAGACCGACTTTAGAGTACTGTGCTGGGGTCTGGGGGTGCTGCGGGGAATTAAATAGTGAAACTCTAGAAACTCTGCAGAAGTGCGTTGGAAGAATTGTAATCAAAACACCTAGTAGTGACACTGCGATGAAAACTTTGAAATGGCCAAGTCTTAGGTCCAGACGCGATGAACACATCCTAAAACTTGTAAGGAAATGTATACATGGCTGGTGCCCTCAGTATTTTAAGAACTACTTTGTTTTTAACAAGGGCATTTGTGCTCGTTCAACCCGCCAGATAATAACAGACAACCGAAGAAGCTGTTATAGTTTCATCTATATTTGGCAATGCGTTATCAGTAGAGGCCTAGATTAAGGTTCAAATATGTTGCTAAGGGAAACATGAATTGAAGAGACATCTATCTCAACCGATGACAGGAGAGGGCTAACGACAGACCTACCTGGAGGGGACTTATAAAACTGTGCTGAGCCCTAGAACAGTCTTAGTCTAAACGACTGACTGTGATGATTATGGATGAAATGTTCGATTAAATAAAAACTGTTGTGTGTTAAGGAAAGAGTTAATATTCGTTAATGCTAAAGCATTTATTAGCAGCTCTCAGAGGGCAGCACGTGACAGAAGTGAGGTATAAGTCAAGGAGATACAAGGTATTAAGGCACGTAGCGCGTAAGTGTACTTAACGGGTGAGCGATGAGAGGGTTTTTGTTGGTTGTCAATCGGTTTCACGTACGATTATGTTAACTTCTGATGATAAATACTGATTTGGCGTGGAAATCGTTGATCCTTGCTTATTTTTTTGCGCAGCCACGCAGGGGTGAACAGCCCACCCTCCCACCCAGAAAATCGCGAGGGTCGTTTTACTAACTACCTCTAAGCCAAGCTGTCCCATCTTGGCTTAGTCCGCTGATCAATCATTTTCCCATACCTTAATACAACTGAGCATGAATATGAATGTTGTTGAATGGATTACTTTAAAACGAATTTGATATAACATCTCCAACGTCTACCTGCGAGCAGCCTGGCTTGCAATGTGACTCGTCGGACGCCTAACACAAAAATCTGTCGCGGTAGAAGGTCCAAAAGAGTTTCCAAACTGCTCTGCCTTAACGAGAAGAATGCGTATTTCTCTGAGTCACTCATCTCGTTATGGTAAAACTACTGTTTGACTACTCCATATGAATTGACCAATTTTCATATTTTAGAATTCAACCTCAAACAATTCGAGGCTTTTGGGAATGAGCATCTCTAGAGAATTAAATTAAAGATTTTTCAAAAGCATTTGCTTTTGGAAAGCTCACACGTGAAAAATAGGCATGTTATTTACCTATCCCTCTAGGGTATGTGACATGTTCACCTGGTGTCGTACCAGGTGAATATATCACATACCCCATTGTTCCAGTTAAACAACCCTTACTTAATTGTTCTTCCACAGTTTTTTCACTGTTTTAGGTTTTGTCCTCATTCTTGTGAGACCCAATAGACGAGTTTTAATTTTTGTGCAGCGAGGTGTTTTTAAGAAGGAACATTGGTCATAGAATCGAACCGCGGCAAACGAAAGTAAACGTAGCAGCAAAAAAGAACATGATTGCGAATAAATGCCAAGAGGATGAGGAATAAATCTTTGAAAGCAATATTGATCACATATTTAGGAATTGTTGGATGAGGCTTAGCATGATCTGTTGAATTATGCAGATCGAGGAGGGTGTGGTTAGCGTATTTATTATTCACTTAAAGTAACTCTTAGTTTAAAACGTGCTTACTTCTTCTGGTGTCTTGAGTTCATTTTAATTTTTCCGTTCTTTTGTAAATTTAGGGTACAAAGGATGTTAAGTCTAGCAGGGATATTCTTTGCCAGCTGGACGCATACAGCTGAGCTAACGCAGCCTGACGTTCTCGATTAAGGCTTCTCGGTTCCCGTCACTTTTTTTAGCGATAACCCGAATAATTGATGTCATTTTACTGGATATTCGCAAACGTCTCCCAAATTTGGTCAACTCCAGATGGTTATCAAAAATTAGCCGATTAATTTGAGGCAATCAGTGACGGACTCAAAAAACATGTACCAGCAACCTTTCTTGGAATATGCCCATGTCTGATCGTTGAGATGGTAAAGAAAGCATCTAAACGCCTGCATTTTCTTATAGGCAATAAAAGTGCCATTATGTCGAGAGGGCCGAACTGTTTAGGTTTTACACAAGCTGTATAAGGTCTGTTTGCAATTACGCGATTCCTGTGTTTCACGCTTCGTTACCTCAGTACCTAATCGACGATTTGGCTCTCTCCTTCATATGCCCCACCTAGCCTTATCTTACGACAACGCTCTAGCTTCGTTAGACCTAGAATTATCACTAGTGGTTCATCATCAGCGCCTGTGTCAGTCCCTTTTCAATGAATATCTTAGAGGACAACGACCACCGTCTCAGTCACTTACTGCATACTCGACTCGCATACCCGTCTCGCATAGTTACACCCTCAGGCATGCCAGGAATTATCTTATTAATTCCCAATGCCTCCGGGTAAACTCATTAGAATAGCCATCAGCTTTTTTAAATAAAACTTTGTTGGTAGCTTACGCTTGTGTATTCTTTAGAGTTATAACTTCTCTAAAATTGATTGTAATCTAGGTGTTTTCTATAATTTAGTAGGTTTTATATTTTCTATGTTTATACGTAATTTAACCTCTGGCTGCAAGACTATGCCGATTAAGTATCCATCTATCTCCATCTGTCTAGTGGATAAATATTCAAGCTTTATTCTTCTTAACGAACGTTAATAGCACGGTTTAAGCCCAAGGGACGTTCAGCCAAACCTCTTGTATAGTAGGAGAGGTTTGAATTTCCCCGTACGTTGGAGCACAGGCAAACCAAACTTTATACATACCTTTTTGGCTTTGAAGGGAAATTCACTACAATATAGAAATAAACTTCGATCATTCCAAGCCGTGGGTTTGCTTGAGTGTCCATTTCCTGTGTGAGTTGGGCTGGTTGTTGTGTATATACGTGTATCTAGAATCTAGTTAGGAAACGACAGGGTCTTGAAATGCATCGCTTCCTTTTCAGTTTCATGTGGGTCAGTAATGAACAATACCCTGAAAAGTCCTACACAATCAGACGGCTTCTATGCTGGCAACATGAACTGCGTCTACAATCTTTCGATTCCAGATGGTAAAGAGATGAGACTCAAGTTTCAAAGTTTTGACCTGGCGTCAGATTCAGAATGCAGGTAGGAATAAATACGTTTAGCTTTTCTTATCTGAAGTTTAATTTTGAGTTTAATGGTCAAAAACTTAAAAGCATAGAAAAACGTTTTCAAATAGCTTCTTTTATGTTCAGTCGTACCGACTCTCACTTTCATCTTAACGTTTAGGTCAGCTACTCACCCTTGAGCCCTGATTAGTGGATATTTTAGCAATTACGAAAATCAGCCTGATAAACCGATATTTTGGCATTTGGGGAAGAGAATGTGTGGGGTGTTTTGTTACTGTACAGCAACTTGTATTGAAAGAGATTTTCTTGTAGGATCGATTATTTGAAAATAACGAATGGTACCAAAGAAGCTCGATACTGCGGTGACCAGCTCACTGGAAGAGGCCTTCTTGTATCAGGGAACTACGTTGTATTAACGTTCCACACGGACTGGCTGCTGGAGAACAAGAAAGGATTTGAAATACTCTTCGCTCCAGAAAAAGGTAACAACTTTACATTTAGGGCCGTTTATACGAGTAAAAATAAGACGCGCCCAACATAAAACGCGAACTTTACCGTATAAACGGCACATTTTGTCTGACATAAGATAAGACGCGTCTTAACTAAGGATAGCCCTTAACACATGTTCTTAGATAAGACGCTCTTGGCTGAGTCGCGTCTTATCTCAGACGAAATTAAATGTGCCGTTTATACGGTGAAGTTCGCGTCTTATTGAGGACGATGAGGACGAGTCTTATGTAAGGCGGACGCTTCTTATTTTACCTCGTATAAATGGCCCTAATTGTTCCACCTCTAAGATTGAACGAATCCACGTCATCCCGGCCGGGAAATGGATAACGAGACACACCTGGCCAGAACTTTTTTATCAATATACAAATTCCACCAGATCCGAGGATCTTTTTTTTTTTTTTAAAGAATAATAGCACAGTTGAACAATCTCCCTTCATCAATATTCTACTGGATAGCTCGTGGCGGGCGACAAGAGGAGCCCGCAGAGTATTCTTGGTTAGCGGCCCTTTATAAACCGTATAGCAAGTGTTCTGAAATATTCATGAAATGTAATATATTCAGTTTACGTAACTTGTATAAGAACATAAGGTGTTAAGAACATTTAAATAAATCATTCAGTCCTCAACTGTCGAAGTAGGAACATGGTCCTTCGAGCCCTTTTACAGGAAAGTTAATATAATAATGTCGGACGGTGTGAATAACGGTAAATACTATCGGACGGTGGAGAAACAGAAGCAGTTGAAAAATGTCTATTACTGGAGAAGCTAAAGGAGAAAAGAACATCGGTAAAGCGCAGAGTGACTCAAACAAATAAGGAAATCGATGAAGCAATTCAATGCAACAAGAGACGGTCGCTAGAACTCTGGGTGTCGAATTCAGAAAGTTACAAGACCATATAATAGAGTACATAAGTGAAGAGGATTACGAAACTTTGATATATTGGAGGGGAATTAAACTAATGAATTTGGGTTTTCCCCAGTGTAAAACGAATTCAGGCGAAAAAGACAAGATTTCGACGGTAAAAAGCCAAACTGAAACGCACTTTGGAGGAACATATCGCACGACATAACAGGCAGAAACAAACCCGTTTGCGAAGTGAGACGCAATGAAAATTCTGAAAATTGCTCTTTTATCTGGATTTTCTCTCGTATTTTGAAGCTACTAGTCCAAATTGCTTCAATGTTTTCCGTAAAATACTTTTGCAGTCAACAAATTGTTGTTGAAGAGGAAATACAGGAAGTGGAACTGAGATTTCGTCGTGCTCAATTTAGAGCCACGGTCATGCACCTGGCAGTCTGTTACACATTAGGAGAAAAGTAAGGGTATTTTTATGGAAGGGTATCCGGAAAATATCATTTCTTACTATTCCTCCGCATTCTCAATTAATTCACAACCACGACGCCGAAGTGTACGCTTCCATAAAAGCGTCTTTTTAATCCATGTTTCATCACTGCATGTTTTATTAATCTATGTTTTATCACTCCATTTTTTATTAAACCATGTTTTATCAAACAAGTCCAGTCCATATTTTATCACATGCCACATAATCGACGCGCATGGAAGATGTAGGGCGTTTTGTCAACAACAAGAGACCACCGATTGGAAACAATCTCTTCATGACGGCGCTTCAGGATTCGAAACAAATTCTGCAAACATAAAGTTACCAAAAATTCCCCTACCGAAATTTACGGGTCAATCGCCGATTGAGTGGGTCCGTTTTTGGGACCAATTTACAGCAGCAGTAGATGAAAATCAATCGAATCATAATGTGCAGAAGCTCGAGTATTTAAAATCATTTCTTTTGGGTTCAGCTGCCGAATCAATACGAGGATATACGTTAACTGAAGATTAGTATTCGTTGGTTGTGGAATTTCTAAAGAAAAGATTCGGCAAGAAGTGTTTTATAATTCAAGCCCATATGGACGCGATAATGGACGTGTCGAAATTTGACACTATGGAAAATAACGAAGTGCGGAGTTTCCTAGACACCTTGAAGTGCAATTTGCGATCAGTAGTCCCTCTCGGAGTTCAAACCGAACTTCTCCCACCTCTTCTAATTTCATTGCTTATGAGGAAAACGCCGAAAAAGTTAATTGAAAAATTCAAGTTCAAGATCAAAGACGTCGAGGAATTTTCTCTTAAAACGTATCTAGAGTTATAATAATAAAATAATGATAAAACTTTAATAGTAACATCCTCAACGGGCTTTGAGAAACTATTTACAAATGAATGTGAATAAACTTAAAAAAAGAGTAAGATAGTAAAACATCCTCCAAGTGTTGAAGAAATAACCTACTCAATATGTTATGATAAAATTACAAAAGTTGCACACATGTCCAATATACACAAACAGATACGATTCGTCAAACCGATGGTCTATTAGTACCAATGGTACAATTGGTACCAATAGAAAGGGATGTCATTCAAATTCTTCTATTGGTGAACAAAAACAGGTCGAGATGCAAACATGTTACGAGAATTCTTCGTTCTATCAGCCATCTATACATAACAAGTTCGCTTTTACTCCAAGTAGAAAAGCGCTAATAGTTGTTATGAATATTCCTCCCTCTATAAGCCAGCCACGCAAAACAATTTCACTCTCACACAAAGTAGAAACGCGCTAATAGTTACAAAGCGAGGTCGAACTAACGCTAACAGTAATTGCCAACAGTTATAACATAGCGAGGTCGAAATACAAGCATGCCATGTGTATTCTTCGTTCTATAAGCTATCTATGCAAAACAAGTTCGCTTTTACACCAAGTAAAAACGCGCTATACACAGACAGATACGATTCGTCAAACCGATGGTCCATCGGTACCAATGGTAGGATTGGTACCAATAGAAAAGGACGTCATTCCAATGGTTCTGTTAGTTAGTATGCACCTCATTAAGGGGACTTTGATTATTTTTGCCTGTGACCTAGCTGGGCACAGGGAAATTCCGATGGTCCATTGGTATCAATGGTACGATTGGTACCAATAGAAAATGATTTTGCTTTGATGGTTTATAGAACAAAGAATACACATGACATGATTGTATTTCGACCTCGCTATATTACTAGTTATAGCTATCGCTAAGTGCCAACGAGCAAAGATTTTACCTATAAGCGCGCGCTGTTGAATTTGTGTAGAAATGTCATGAAATACAGTAATTAATGAAAGATAGATTGAACTTAATTTGATTGCATTGAAAATAGTGCAAACTTAAAGCAAGGGGCACACATACACCAACCCACGGCATGCGCACAGCCATATCATGCGGCCTGTGGCAGTATGGCAAAGCTGTTGCCGTTGGAGCCTGAACGTGGAAAACTCGCGTCCCAAAAACCCCTTACTGCCGAGGTGACTGCAACCCACGGCCTGGCCATTACCTTACGCAAGCGCACGGCCATATCACGCGGGCAGTGGAAGCCATGGACAGTTGTTTCGCCCTTACTTGGGCTCATCAGCATGGCATAGTCGTCGGTCAGTGACCGGGAAAAACCGGTTTTTTTTGTTTTTTTTCGTATTTTGGCAGTCCAAGAGGCGCGGTGCGATGCCCCAAGGCCATGAAAACAAAGGGAACGAAAGGATCCGACAAAAAGAAAAACAAACAAGGTGTGTGACTGTGTGACTGCGAGATGCGGTTCGCAAGTCCAACTCACAAAAATGACCCTTGCTCGCCAACGAGTCCTCAGTAGCTCAGAGGTTAGAGCATCCGATCAAGAACACGAAGGGTCGTGGGTTTGAATCCCATCCGGGGCTCAGATTTTTTCTGTGTCCTTTTATGGTTGATTCTTTATATCTCCGTTTATTTCCTTTACAAAAAAAAAATCTAGGGTAACCTACAGGGTGAAAAGACCGCCAAAATCGAAGGGGGCACCTCTATACGGAGCCAGCCCGCCAACTTCCCAGGGGATCGAACCCCGCCTCCCGACTAGTTAAAATACTACTTAAAGACCATATACAGTATAAAAGGGCTATATACAAAAGACAAAAAGGAAAGACCACACTCACTCAAACCTATCTGAAGAAACGAAACCATAGTGAAACCAACAAAGGCGACCGAGGGGATGGGCAGCGAGAAGGGAGACACGCACACTCCAGCAAAGCCAGGTCAGAGCCCAAGAAAACCGTAGTACAACCAACGAAGGCGACCGAGGGGGAGCAAAGAGAGGGAAGACACACACACTCAAGCCAAAAAAAAAACAACAAAAAACAGAGCCAAGAAGACCACAGTACAGCCAATAAAGGCTACCGAGGGATACTCACTCGAACCACACTAAGGAAGACAGAAATGAAAAGAGTCACCAACGACCTTACCGATACGGCCATTGGCTCCCCGTTGTCGTTGGAAAAAACGGCGCTTGCGCCGAGACCGAAAGCGTTTAATAAGCAGAGGTAAATAGAAGGACAGGCGACCCTTGATGCTAGCGATAAGACCCTGTACGGCACCTGCAAGTTTGGACCGAAAACGATAGTCATTCCTTTGACACCAGACAAAAAACTTAAGTCAGGACAGAAGTTAACAGAAGACACGAGGAACACACAACAGCTCATCACTAATGAAAACGAAAAGAACATGGCGCACGGTAATAGCTGGTGCCAGAGGAGAGGACAGAAAGAATAGTGACTGGATCCAATCCAGACCACTTTGGGCCAGGGCACAGAGGAAGAACAAATTCTCCAGAGTCTCATCAGACTGACCACAGAAACAATCCGGAGGGACATTCAATCCGAAAGAAACAAGACGGTGAGCAGTGTACAAAACACCGTGGGCAACGTTCCAACAGAGTTCAATGGGCTTCCTGTCGAGAGGCATGGAAAACAAGGTCTTCCAGGTAGAATCCCAGTCTAAGTCACCATAATTTGAGCGAAACTTCACCACACAATGGGACTCACGTGGGAGAAAACAGCTGTGGCGAAAAAGTACCTTCTTCAAGCCCTCTTTTTTTGAAGTGTGACTATTGTAATAGGATGGGCCATTTTGTATATACCTTGCTGCCTTATAAATTCTGAGCAACACAAAACGTCCTCAAAACCTGACAAGTGAATACAGTAAATCCTCTATGAAGCGGACCCCCAATTAAGGGGACACCCTCTATTAAGCGGACACTTAAAAAGCCGGGTCCCGAAAGCAACATCTTGTATTTCTCTTTATAACGAACCCCTATTCAACTGACCCCTCTATTAGGCGGACGCGGACACTAAAATAAATTGTATTTGGCTAATTTCTATTGTTTAAAACCTCTATTAAGCGGACACCGGACTGAATTTACTTTTTCTAGCGATTACCCGAATAATTGATGTCATTTTACTGGATATTCGCAAACGCCTCCCAAATTTGGTCAACTCTAGATGGTTATGAAAAATGAGCCGATTAATTTGAGGCAATCAGTAACGGACTCAAACATGTACCAGCAACGTTTCTTGGAATATGCATGTGTCTGATCGGTGAGATGGTAAAGAAAGCATCTAAACGCCTGTATTTTCTTCTAGACAATAAAAGCACCATTATATCGAGAGGGCCGAACTGCTTAGGTTTTACACAAGCTGTATAAGGTCTGTTTGCAATTACGCGATTCCTGTGTTTCACGCTTCGTTACCTCAGTACCTAATCGACGATTTGGCTCTCTCCATCATATGCCCCACCTAGCCTTATCTTACGACAACGCTCTAGCTTCGTTAGACCTAGAATTATCACTAGTGGTTCATCATCAGCCCCTGTGTCAGTCCCTTTTCAATGAATATCTTAGAGGACAACGATCACCGTCTCAGTCACTTACTGCATACTCGACTCGCATACCCGTCTCGCATAGTTACACCCTCTGGAATGCCAGGAATTATCTTATTAATTCCCAATGCCTCCGGGTAAACTCATTAGAATAGCCATCAGCTTTTTTAAATAAAACTTTGTTGGTAGTTTATGGTTATGTATTCTTTAGAGTTATAACTTCTCTAAAATCGATTGTAATCTATGCGTTTTCTATAATTAAGTAGTTTTTATAATTCTATGTTTATACGTAATTTAACCTCTGGCTGCAAGACTATGCCGATAAAGTATCCGTCTATCTCCACCTGTCTAGTGGATAAATATTCAAGCTTTATTCTTCTTAACGAACGTTAATAGCACGGTTTAAGCCCAAGGGACGTTCAGCCAACCCTCTTGTATAGTAGGAGAGGTTTGAATTTCCCCGTACGGTCGAGCACAGGCAAACCAAACTTTATACATACCTTTTTGGCTTTGAAGGGAAATTCACTACAATATAGAAATAAACTTCGATCATTCCAAGCCGTGGGTTTGCTTGAGTGTCCATTTCCTGTGTGAGTTGGGCTGGTTGTTGTGTATATACGTGTATCTAGAATCTAGTTAGGAAACGACAGGGTCTTGAAATGCATCGCTTACTTTTCAGTTTCATGTGGGTCAGTAATGAACAATACCTTGAAAAGTCCTACACACTCAGACGGCTTCTATGCTGGCAACATGAACTGCGTCTACAATCTTTCGATTCCAGATGGTAAGGAGATGAGACTCAAGTTTCAAAGTTTTGACCTGGCGTCAGATTCAGAATGCAGGTAGGAATAAATACGTTTAGCTTTTCTTATCTGAAGTTTAATTTTGAGTTTGATGGTCAAAAACTTAAAAGCATAGAAAAACGTTTTCAAATAGCTTCTTTTAAATTCAGTCGTACCGACTCTCACTTTCATCTTAACGTTTAGGTCAGCTACTCACCCTTGAGCCCTTGTTAGTGGATATTTTAGCAATTAAGAGAATCAGCTGATAAACCGATATTTTGGCATCTGGTGAGGAGAATGTGTGGAGGTCTTTTGTTACTGTACAGCAACTTGTATTGAAAGAGATTTTCTTGTAGGATCGATTATTTGAAAATAACGAATGGTACCAAAGAAGCCCGATACTGCGGTGAACAGTTCACTGGAAGAGGCCTTCTTGTATCAGGAAACTACGTTGTACTAACGTTCCACACGGACTGGCTGCTCGAGAACAAGAAAGGATTTGAAATACTCTTCGCTGCAGAAAAAGGTAACAACTTTACATTTAGAGCCATTTATACGAGGAAAAATAAGACGCGCCCAACATAAAACGAGAACTTTACCGTATAAACGGCACATTTTGTCTGACATAAGATAAGACGCGTCTTATCTAAGGATAGCCCTTAACACCTGTTCTTAGATAAGGCGATCTTGGCTAAGTCGCGTCCTATTTTAGTCGAAATGTGCCGTTTATACGGTGATGTTCGTGTGTTATCAAGGACTATGAGGATATGTAAGACGCGTCTTATTTCTCCTCATATAAATGGCCCTAATTGTTCCACCTCTAAGATCGAACGAATCTGCTTCATCCCGGCCGAGCAATGGATAACGAGACACACCCGACGAAAATGTTTTATCCGTATATATATTCCACGAGATCCTAGGATCTTTTTTTCTTTCTTAAAGAATAATAGCACAGTGGAACAATCTCCCTTAATCAATTTTCTACCGGCGACAAGAGGAGCCTGCAGGCTACTCTTGGTCAGCGGCACTTTATAAACTGAAGAGCAAGGTTTTTCCAGAATGTCTGTAAAAAAAGAAAACGGCACATTTTGTCTTAGATAAGATAAGACGCGTCTTATCTAAGGATAGCCCTTAACACCTGCTCTTAGATAAGACGCTCTTGGCTAAGTCGCGTCTTATTTCAGACGAGATTAAATGTGCCGTTTATACGGTGAAGTTCGTGTCTTATTGAGGACGACTAGGACGCGTCTTATGTAAGGCGGACGCTTCTTATATTCCGTCGTATAAATGGCCCTAATTGTTCCACCTCTAAGATTGAACGAATCCACTTCATCCCTTACGGGAAATGGATAACGAGACACCCGCCCAGAACTTTTTTTAAGCCCTATACAAATTCCACCAGATCCGATATTTTTTTTTTTAAAAAGAATAATAGCACAGTGGAACAATCTCAATCTCCCTTCATCAATTTTCTACTGGATACCTCTTTGCGGGCGACAAGAGGAGCCCGCAGGCTATTCTTGGTTAGCGGCCTTTTATAAACTGTATAGCAAGTGTTCTGAAATATTCATGAAGTGCAATATATTCAGTTTACGTAACTTGTATAAGAACATAAGATGTTAAGAACATTTAAATAAATCATTCAGTCCTCAACTGTCGAAGTACGAACATGGTCCTTGAAGCCCTTTCACAAGAAAGTTAATATAATAATGACGGACGGTGGAGAAACAGAAACGGTTGAAAAATTTCTATTATTGGAGAAGCTAAAGAAGAAAAGAACATCGGTAAAGCGCAGAATGACTTAAACAATTAAGGAAATCGATGAAGCAATTCAGTGCAACAACAGACAGTCGCTAGAACTCTGGGTGCCGAATTTAGAAAGCCTTGATGAAGATCAGAGCTTAAGTTGTTACAAGACCATATAAAAGAGTACATAAGTGAAGAGGATTACGAAACTTTGATATATTGGAGGGGAATTAAACTAATGAATTTGGGTTTTCCCCAGTGTAAAACGAATTCAGGCGAAAAAGACAAGATTTCGACGGTAAAAAGCCAAACTGAAATGCACTTTGGAGAAACATATCGCTCGACATAACAGGGCAGAAACAAA